GTAATTCCAGTGTTGACCAACATTGGCTTGCCTGTCCACTAGCATTCGTGTCACGTCTTCCAGTTCGCGAATCTTCACCTTTGGTGGTCGTGGCCGTGGTTTATCTTTCCGCGGCGACCTGGAAGTATCTGACCACCAGGTCTTCTTGGGTTGGTCCTCGGATTCATTCGCCGGTGTTGGTGGTGTTGCCGGTGAAGATGAACTATGTCGTGCATGAGAAAGCGGCTGCTGAAGGGAACCTTTTAGGCATCTTGAGACTGTGAGCAAGGAAGGATAAGACCCATGGCGTTGCATGACCGACGTAGTAGCAGCTGACCACCAAAACTTCTATTGCAGAAACTTGTTGGCGCTCGGGACTCTCGGGCCGGGTGTCTATTTTTGGAACGCGTCGTGTTTCCCAACCTCGAGGATCCATTGTAGCTGGATTGTTTGAAAGCTGGAAAACAATAGCGAAGGGCAGACATTGTGTTGATTATAGGGGTCTCACTCATGAATTATACAGATATACAGTAGAAATTACACACAACACTCTAACACCAAATGGGTGGCCTCGACCATTCAATGAAATCCCTGAGCTCATTCTGAGTGGTTGGATGCATGAAACGAGCTGACGCAAGCATTTGCATAGCCCTGATGACCCAGGTCTCGGTGGTGTCCCACTTTGTATCGCCATTCTGGTAAAAGAAGGGGGTGTCCTCGATGATTGCGCAGATGCTGTTGAAGTACTCGAACGGGATGCGGTCGGCGACGACCCGCTCCGCGATGATGTCTGCGCTGCCTTTGATTGGGGCACCCATAGTTGTGATTAACCAGCGATTGTAGCGGTCTGCGTATGGGTAGAAGTAGCCGGGTTCGGCGCCTTGCCCGTCAATTTTGAAGCACCACGCCTGGTTCTTTTGGTCCTTGGGAGGGCCGTAGCGGATGATAGAAACGCGATTGTAGACGCCCCAGCCAGTCATAATGATGTTCTTGTAGATGTGTAGTGGTGGTAGTGATGATTAGAGGGAGCTTGTACGCAGGACAGGGGAAAGTCGAGAGAAGTTTAGGTTTCTGGTTTGACTGTACTCAGTACAGGAGACTGTTGCTGAAGATACCGCAGCCTTTGACCCACATTATATATGCTTCCAGCCCTATTGTTAGCCATCGTCGTCAGCATTAGTTCGCAAAGCGAGAGTTGTTGTGATAGTGCATTCACAATAAGCCGAGCAACGATTATGACTCTGAGGGACGCTGGTCGGCAAACAGGAGCCCAGCAACCCCGAGAAAACCAAAGCAATACTACTACATCATACAAGGGAAGTCTTCCATCCTGGATTTTTGGAAGACACTCGGAATGGACTTGAGCGTGAGGTAACACCACCGTAGTGACCATAACAAAAAGTGACAACACAGCTTTGACTGGGCATGTCACGGTAATTGTTTGCTTGTAAACGTCCGAGTCGGACAATACATCTTTCTCTCTTCCATTCCACAAATGCAGCAATGGTTGTTGTCAGATGCTATCAATCCCTGGGAAGCAAGCATCAACGGGCCGCCTTGTGTGCTTTCTGACGAATCAGATCAGCAGCCGAATCGGAGACACAAGATAGACGAGACGGTACTGACCTTGGCTAAGTTAAACCTGCAGCAGTGCTGACTATGCTTGTTATGGGTCCGGTCTGCAATTATCGACAGATCATCGTCCCATGGTTACAAGGAGTCACTATAGGCAGGTACAACGGTCAAGGATTCGCGCTAATTAACGTTGTTGAAAGGTCGACATCCTTCATTATCGTCTCTTACCGACTCTGGATCGATCTGCTCAATTTCCATTAGTACACCGAATTGCCGTTTAGGCTATTCAACACTAATTCGCCTTCTCCACCCCGCATGGTGACACCCTTCTGCCGACCCCGTCTGACCTCAAGGCCGTCTCTATGCCTGTATTTATGGGTCGAAGTTGAATTGTGGCAGATTCAACATCTCTTCCAGTACCTGCTGTTCTCGTTGTGGCCCTCTAGCCAACGTAGCGCATAGCCTCCGACATTGGTTTCTGGACTTTCGAATCTGATTTTGGCCAGTAGCCTCAAAAAGCATGCCAGCAGATAACCAACGCGGATACAACGATAAATACTTTGTCGAAGACGGCCAGGCTCGGAATGGCAGGTGCACTGAACAAGCATCGTTAAGGCAGCACCTGGACAATGTAAGTCTCTTCATTTTCTCATAGAATCTGGGGCTCTCTTTTGGTTCTCTGGAACCGCATTGCGGAGATCGTACCTTACGTGGTGCAAGGCACACTTGCGCGAAGGCACCACGCCCAGTCGATCGATACAACGATGCTGGCCGTCGTTTTCGAAACCGTTTGCCTCATCGGTCATTTTTGACTTACACTGGGCGACCATTTGTTCCCTTCAAAGGTCGCTTCAAGAGCCTGTCAACCTTCTCCAGCTCGAGCTAGGACCACTCCTATCGCTCACAACCCCGACGCCCCCTTTTGCGATAAACCGGCCGACCTCATCCCCCTTCCTGAACGCCGCATATACAACAGCTACCAGGGCTACACAGGTCTTTCCCATCCCAACGGCTCCCAAAGCGAATTTTCGAAACTTCCATCGCGTTGCAATCCCTATCCTTATATTGTGCCCCAGAGGATCTCGCTGATGGATACCCGCCCACCACCAAGTTCAACTTTGACTATGGTCGGCAATCCAAGTGGTTCCGCGGTTGATATAAGCAAACATTCTTCAGAGGGAAGCTCGTATGGAAGTGCTGAAGGGGCATCGCCTTGGTCTAAAGAGCAGCAGGCCAAGAGGAGGAAGAAGTGGCTGGTAGGTCACCGACGTCGTTGTGTCCTTGTATGCCCGTCAAACGACAACATTTCAGATCGTGGGCCTCGCCCTCACCCTGATAGGCCTCACTATCGCGGGTGCTGTCACCGGTGTCCTGTTGACAAGGAATAACGCTGTCCCTTCGAGTTCAACGTGTATGTCATTTACGCTTCATCCTTGATCCAAGCCTCCTAACGTCTTCCCTCAACAGCATCCGGGGCGAATGTTGTAAAACAGTCGAACCCGAAAGACCCTAGCACGTTCATCAAGAACCCAAATCTTCACCAAGCATTTTACGGAATCGCTTATACTCCTGAAAACTCGCAGTTACCGAACTGCGGGAACGCACTAGGGGATGTGATCACCGATATTCAGGTAAAGCCCGATCGCCTTGCTTGAATCTTGCCCGTCGCTTACGACCTTTCAGCTTTTGTCGCAACTGACCCGCGTGAGCAATGTCACTGACGCTGGACGCCTTTTTGACAACATTAACCCCTTGTTCGTCAGCGTATCCGATTATATGGAGCTGACTGCAACCAGACAGCCTTGGTGGTATGCTTTGGATACTAATTATGGAAAGCACTCACTGACAGCTTTGCAGCTCGAAGCCATTCGACAAACCAAGGTCGATATGCAAGTCTGGCTAGGCAATTACCCCATCGCGACCGACAATGGAGCTGCCTACGAACGCCAACGCGATATTATCAGAGACGCATTATCTACCTATGGTACTGACCACATTAGTGGTATCACCGTTGGGAACGAGTTCATGCTCAAGTGAGTGTCTTCTCTGTTTAGCATACGATTATTGATCTAAGCTGACATCTTTCCTAGTTACCTCCTCGGCCAGGGTGCTACCACCACTGACCCCAACAGTCCTGTTGCTGAAAGAGGGGCGGATATCCTAATTGCGAATATCCAAGATACACGGACTATGCTTGACTCGATGCACCTCCCAAAGACACTCGCTGTCGGAACCTCGGACGCAGGGAGCTACTTCAACAACAGGGTGTTGGAAGCGGTTGATTACGGAGTACGTATCCCCACAGGATGAGCCGTTCAGTAACTCGTGTCTAATCTGGATCCTTTAGATGGCGAATGTCCATCCGTGGTTCGCGAATGTGTCGATCGAAAGCAGCGCACAATGGACGAATTCATTCTTCCAGGCTGTCGACGTCGCACAGGCAGATGCTTTGGCAAATAGACCTCAGATGTATATCGCTGAAACTGGGTGGCCTAGTGTGAGTTTTGGTAACTGTTGTCACTCCCGCCTTCGTTGCGCTCAAGATGCCGTTTTGTCTTGCAAATCAGAAATCGTCTGATGCTGGAAACGCATCCAATGGACCTTCTACTGCTAGCGTGGCGAACCTACAAGAGTTCCTTGATACATTTGTCTGTCAGGCCAATACCAATGGCACTGCTTACTTCTATTTCGAGGTTTGGAGCTTGTTTTTTGTTTGCCGCTGGTGATGCTGAGCTGCCTTTAATTCCTGTTTAGCTCTTCGATGAACCTTGGAAAGTATGTATCCTCTCCCTCAGTTCAAACGCTCTGCCTGTCTAACTCGACTTCTTTATCCAGGACCGACAATTCGGCGGTGTCGAGGTTGGAGTATTTGTTCGAACTCTTAATGCTCCTTCTGACTATTTGGCTCGACAGGGATGGTGGGGTCTATTCAACTCCGAGTGCGTAGCAAGTCCCCTCAAACCTTTATCATCCCTCTGACAATATTATTTTAGCCGCACTCTCAAGGATATCAGAATACCCAACTGTCAGGCACCCTAGTAGTTCCATTCCAGTCTGCCTGATTCCTTGTATGTCTGTCTTGCCTGCATGTAGTGAATGAACTGGCAACGGGTTAAACCCCAAATGGCTTAGCCTTTTGATCCCCCTGTGTTCCAGCAAAGAAGGATCCGTCACGAATCTCTTGGGGTCCTTGAATCTTTTCTATCGTATCTATTTAGATGATACGAATTTATTGATTTGTTTTGTGCTCCCAATGTAATGCGATTTCAACAATTTCAATCAAGCAGGGTATATACAAGATGAATCTATTCGCAGCCCTTCTGACTTCGCGTCACATTGGGGAAATACTACTTCAACGATTGTGAATTTGTGCCAACTCGAGCCTGGCTTGAACGTAGTACATTCAGGGGCTCCACCTGTTGGTCGTCCTCCCTCATCCCAAGGAAGCATTGATGGTGTAGCGGTAACATTGGGTCTTCCCATTTAATGATTGGCCTAGCTCCGGGTTCGACTCCCGGTCAATGCACTCTTTTTATCATTGTGTCAGAAAGCAATCGATCCCGGCTGTAGGTGAGCAGGAGTGGAGGTCTGGCTAAGGAGTGATACCGCTTGTTTTCCTGTCTTTGCTTTTGGATTTCCAGTTAAAGTGTCAGTCCATCTTGCGGTTTATCAACCGAATATCCCGCAAAAGTCTTTTTTTTCGCGATTCGGATTCGAATTACAACTGCCAGCACTTTCTTTTCTATAGGAGATGCGAGCTGGACCCGACCCTCTTCCTGGTAGTCCCCTGACAATGTACCGGAGAAGCATTGATGGTGTAGCGGTAACATTGGGTCTTCCCATTCGTCTTCTTGATGTTGGTCGGTCTGGCCTAGCTCCGGGTTCGACTCCCGGTCAATGCATACTTTTGGCTCTATCCTACAGAAATTGAAGCTGTTTGAGTACATTTTTCTTGCTGAAGGATTCAGGAGGATATATGAAGACTGACCAGGGCGGGCGAGGGGGAGATCAGCGGAGGCAAACAGAGATAAACGTCGGGACCTTCTAGCGGACACTTACAGAGAAGGCGTTGTATTAACTAGCGTTCAGTTCAGCAAAATTTGGTTTTGATTCTTCATACATGTCTGGACTGGTGAGTACAAGCTACACAGACCACACCTCTTTGCGAGACGAGTCAGGAGGAACAGTATGGATTGAATGTCCAGTCCAAACCTTTATGTCACAGCGCCCCGTAAAGCGTCGGTAAGCACTACAGTGGTCCACGAGGCTGGAAACTGAAAGCTTGAAGCGTCTGAAGCATCGTCGCAAGGGCAAGGAAGGGTTAGCTTGTTAGGGAAAAATCCCTCTCAAGCACGAAACTTCCGTTTTGGTGAAGCCTTTGATTTATGCCCTTTCGATGCAAGGAGCGCTTTTGAACGTGCAGCTTTAGCTCGGTCATGAGCCGACTTTGCGATACTAACGACTGTCGCTTCTGGCTTTGGTTCTGACGTCTCGCCTGTGGACACAACTTCTAGCGTGGGCTCCGCTTCGGATGTCTGGAGACTTTTCTTCGGTTTCTTGGGGCTGGTCGAGGGTTCGGCTACTGGATTTGATCGTTTAGGCTTTTTGGTGAGTTCTGAAGCCGTTGAGGGTGCAGGCTCGGCCTCAGGCTTCTCCACTCTCCGTTTCTTCTTCGGCCTACGCTTGTTCTCAACAGCAGCAGACTTTTCAGGTGCATCACCCTTCAGAGCTTTCTTCGACTTGGGCTTTTTGGTTGGTTCAGCAGAGGCCTTGTCCTCAGCCGGCTTGGCAGCCTTCTTCGCGCGAGCTTTTTCCTTTGCTGCAGCGCGTTTGGCCTTTCGTAGAGCTTGGTTCGCTTCCTATACCCAAGGCGAAATCTTAAGAAAGTGTCAATGGGATGAGAGAGGGAGGTGTACCTTTTTCAAAGCCCGTTTAGATTTTTCACCCTCAGGAGCCGGTTGAACAAACTCGGGACGTTTTGGGTCGAGGTGTTCCTGCACAAATGGGAACGCATCCTCCTCCGGATCGGCCTCTTCCTCCTTTACGAGCCTCAAAAAGAGCTTGTACCGGCGTTTATGTGCCTAGACCACCCAAAAAACCCACCAACGTCAGTTCACTCGTGGAAGTGTCAAGGCCGAGTAAAAGCGTACATGCATTGGAATTACGGTGGATGTCCACCAGAGCTTCGGTTTTGAGCCTTTTCTGTGTGCATACTATGCAGAGCTTGAGGGATGGGGCGGTTGGGTCGAAGCAGATGGGTTCTCTGAGTGCTTGGGCGATGGTGAATTTGAAGCTGAACGGGCCATCTTCCCCTTCCTCATCATCCCCCTCCGCGTCGGAAAATTGACCTTCGTCGTCCCCGTCGAGCTGGTCCCCGTCCGCGTCGACGTCAGAGTTTTGAACAACCCCCAGAGAGCCCTCATCGTCGGATGAGTCGTCGGAAGAATCGGATTCTTCAGAATCTGTGTCGTTCATCCCGAGAACCTGCTTGAGCTCTTCGTCGAGTCCTAGAGCATCTTCTTCTTCTCTCTTGCGCCTTCGTTTTTCTACGCGTTTGAACATGATGGTGGCTGTGAGGGGTCGGAGTTGACTGAGATGAGGGTATGATCGTGGTTGTTGGTGAAGATCGAAAGGCACTCGGCATGGCGCATCAAATTTCCAGGATCTAATAATATGTCCAGAGTCAGTCGTCGGACTGAAGTCAGAAGGACCTTTCCAGAATCCACTGTTGCTTGCCCAATTTCTTGTAGAATTGGAATATATATACATATATATATATATTCAATCAAACACTGAAATAAATTCTATTGGCACTGCAGCTTGTACTTGAACGGATAGGGTTCAATCATCCTGAAACTCGTCTCCTCAAGGTCCTTCTCCTTTTCCCTCGAGTATGGCTGTGAGAACGGTACTTCGGGCCCCATACATACTAGGTGCGGTGGATGTAAATATAACAAACACTGTTAACAACTCGTGTTCGACCTTCCCGAGATGAATTCACATCGGCATCTGACTTCAGACCAGGAAGCCGTTCAAGAATAAGTACAAGTTTCCGAGGTATCCACGTAGCCTAAAATAACGGTGGTGGTCGTATAAACAGGTCTTGAACGTTTGAACTGAAGCTCGGGAAAGGCGCACCACATTCCCACGATCCAAAGTTGTCGGCACACGCGCGCCCCTGTCCCGCTCGGACCTATCACACACTGCAGAAAAACCCAACGCAGCTACGCGACACAAGAGCTAAAAAGCACATGCTCGTATCAAAGGACACATTTGCACTCAATCTCACAAACTTCCCCTTCACAGCTTAACTTGATACTTTCCCCGCGTGCAGCCCAAGAAACATTCTCATCATCACAACCAGCACACCCTGCATTGCGTTAAAACTTGCTCTCGAATTCGACTCCTAACAAGCCGTGGAGATTCTATACTAGACTAATATGTACACAAATGAACAAGCAAACAAGCCCAGCAGTAGTAGTATCGTATCGGTGCTCGAGTACGTAGTAAATCCCGTTCAATGGATGGACACCATCACAAACAAGAACCGACATCCATCAATCATCCATATACACCAAAACCATAAAAAAAAAAAGGAGGAGGGAAACCATAAAAATGCATGCATGATGTAAGTAGCGTAGTAGTGAAAAAATGTCATCACCAGTCGTAAAACAATCAAATGTAAGAGGTGTATCATACAAAGAGGGTCCGAACCAAACCAAAAAAAATATAGGGTGCTGAATCAACGCTGACGAAACAACAAACGGGCCAAGTCCAATAAAAACATCTTCTCTCAAGTCCGTTCCTTTTCTTTCTCACCCCCCACATTATTCGAACTGATCCTCCTGTTCTTCTTCAACAACATCCCTTTGCGCTCCTTCCCCTCTTTGCTAAAGGCAGAAGACCCCAAGAGGTTGTTATTGTTCTCCTTTCCTGCGTTTGTCCCTGTCCCCGTCGACGACGACAACACCAGCTCGCCTGTGGACGATCCGTGTATGTCATTGCTGTTGTCCTTCCGCCGCGACGAGGGAAGCGTACGACTCCGCTGGACGGTAACACCACTTTGGTTTGTACTATTCGTGATTGTAGGAGTTTCAGGTTCTGTAGTTGGCGAGCCAGATTCGCCTTCGTCTAAGGCACCACCTTGTAGTTCTGTAAAACGTAAACAGTCAGTATGGAGCTCTAGATTCCAGCAATAAAGAGGAAAAAAGGCGATCGGGCAAAAGGCAGGATGGTAGAAAGACTATCAAAGGAGAGAAGAAATCGGAAACGAACCACTTCTCTCCAGCGTCGTCCTACGCCTCATCATTTTACCGACCCTCTCCTTTTCCTTCTCTTTCTCCCTCGAAGTCTTGGACAACAACCTCCATCCTCCCCCAACACCACTCGAAAACTCTTCGTGCTCTTCCAAGACCCCGCCAGGGATCACCATCACATCATCCACATCGCTCCCCATATCCGATAACGGCCGTGCAGAACTCGTGCCAAACCGTGAATGAGAATTGGAACGAGTCTGGCGGGGAGGCGATGTCGAGGAAGATGCTTGGTGGTGTGGATGGGTCGCAGAGGATGAGGAGCCCGAGGCGTGTCCGAAACCGTTCGAATGTCCGACAAACGCACTCACTTTCTGCTGCTGCTGTGGTTGCTGTTGCTGTTGGGCAAAGCTGTGCCCGTGCCCAGCTGTCGCCGCTGTGGGTGGTGTAGATGGCAATGGCGACGGCTGTGGGGCAGACAGGTATGGCGACTGTCCTTGAAGATGTGATGTCGGTTGCCCTTGAGCTTGTTGTTGTGCGCTGCCTCGTCGTCCAGGCGGAGGCGGAATATCAAGCATAAACCAATCCTGGTGCGCAATGAGGAATTCTAGCACTTTCTGGCTCAAAGCATGCTCTGGCGGAGACATTTCGTGATTTGGATGCGAGATTAACCCCGGTCGGAAGATAACTGCCAGATCTAGAGTAGACCATACAGTTTTAGAATAGCACCAAAGCTGCGGAGCAGAATGGAAACGTACTCGTAGCCGTCATCAGGTTGATATCGCTCTTTCTTGCGAACACAGATAGCAGGTCCAGCACGTAGAGTAGCAGATATTGGTTCGCCCGAGGCATCTGTCTCATCAGTGACTTGTATTTCGCGATCACTTCTTCCTGGTTGTACGGTTCCTTGGCTATTTGTGGGTAGGAAAGAAGGCGATCGTAAGCACATGGGGATCCCCACTTTTAGACGGCCACAAACCTAAAACGTCCCGGAACTAGAGCGATGATAAGACAAAGCAAAGGGAGAGAATCAGTCAAATCAGAATGTACAGCCCACGAACGCCATACCTGGTGGTACAAGTCATAGGGTATCACGGGTTCCTGCAAGTAGAAAGGTTAAATACTGCAGCGGGCATCGAAACCAAAAATGGGTAACGCACAGGCATCTGGGTGAGATATCTCCTGAACACGCTGGCAACATCGTGCGTTGTATACTGCTCCTGCTTCCAATCAAGGTTTTTCCCGTACTACAAGCATCCAAGTTAGTACACAAAAGGGACCGAGTCCGGAAAGTTACGCACTCGTGGCGGCGTTTCAAAGGTTTCTTGAAGTATTCGCATCCGTTTGCTAGATCCATTGACGCGAAATGTGCCGGGGACCTCCGTTGCTGTTAACCGCAGTCAGGACACTGGCTCGGGAAAGAGTGGAGGTGGTACACACCATTCTCCTTTAGATATAGCCCGCTGGTCGACGATGGTCACGTTAGAACAAGATCCGCCCTGTTAATTGATGGAGTTGGACGTACCACTTTGCCACCACGACTGGAATGTACCCCCAGACATAAAGCTCGCCATTCGAGTTTGCGGTTGAGATCTGGACGCTGGCGTACTTCAACGACTCCTTGAGAGGTTTGCCAAACACAACTCCTT